TAGTTTTATCCGTTTTATAAATATATATATATATAAGAAGATAAATATTGTAATAAAACGATAGATCACACGTAAACAAACCGCCATGTCTCTCATGTACGAACTTTCTGTACAAACGAACTGATAGTATCCGCTCTGAGATTGGTTTACTCAAAACTTGACATTTCTTGTCTGCAAAGTGCAGTTAGATGCACTTGCTCGAATATTGATAAAGGTCGAAAGTCGATGCAGGTTACTCGTATTTGCGATCAACCAACCACACGATTTCGACAACACACTATGCTCACTATATATATATATATATATAGATAGATAGTTTCAATATAATTAAATCTAATTAAAGCGAATCAGCCGATTCTTTTTTGAGCTAATTCACCACCCAAAAAGCCCATTCGTCGAGTAAATACATATAAATTCGAATTTCAATTAATATTATTAGAGTGATTAGAATGCACGCGCGAATCGATCGTTGCAGAGGTAAATTTATTGCGAATAAAGTGTTCGCCATAAATTTATTATTGCTGCTTTTTGAATTCACGTAGGTTTCTACTAATTTACGAATTTAATCTAAAATTTCTTTCGCTTGTTCAATTTGTATTAATAGTTGCAAAATATTTCGCGCGAATTTTTATTGTATGTGATAAAAATACATTAAAAAAAAAAAATTATATAATTTGTAAAATTTAAGATATTCGGTGAAATTTATCAGATATTATTGATCGTTAAAGTCGATTATATTTTTAAAGTAAGATCCTTTTAAAATTTTATTTTAATTTTTAATTGGTTATAAGATTGTAATGAATTCGAATAACTTTGTACTCAACATCATGTAGTCAATATGTATTTAACATGTAAAACATCAAATGCTTTTTCCAATATAAAATTGGTGAAATGTGATTAGTTATTTAATATTTTTGAAAGTGTATAAATTCAAAATTATATAAAATTATTAATTTCAAAATCATATAAAATTATTAATTTCGGATTCAAAATTGTGATAAAAAAATATTGTAGGGTTATATCTTCGCGTGAAAGGGACGGTCAAAATAAAAATAAAATTTTATAAAATTAATAAAAAGAATTTCGGATATTAATAACACATCAAGATGTGTAGCGGAATATTTTATCATGCGTTGATCCGCGTATCGCGGAAAAGGTTAACGATATTTAATCTCATAATACTCACCCTTCGCACGTGATGATGCCGTAATGCAGGCCGGTCGCCTTGTCCTCGCAAATCATGCATATCATGGGCGTCTCGTCCTCCTCGTGTTCCTGGGGCGGCAAGGGGGGTGCCGGCGGCGCGAACGATATGGACTGCGATGCTGCTTCGGATTTTACGATCGTACCGCCGTTGCTCACCCACGGCTGCGCGGCGGAACCGGAAGCCGTGAGATTTAACGCCTGCATTTGTTGCGCGGCCGGTAGTTGCGTCAAATCACCGGCCCATAGCCTCTCCATATTGAGGGGTGGCCCGGCGGCGGCGGACGAGTACGATACCGCGGTAGAGGAGGGTGGTTTACCCCTGGACTCTTGGCCGAGATTCAGCAGCAGGTGAGCGGCCGACTCCTCCGACGAGGAGCACGAGGCGACCGCTGCCGCTGTGGCCGTCCAGGATGCCGCCGGCGGCGGTACCGGGTCCAACGGCGGCGCCGACCATATCATTGTACGGACGCCGCCGATTTCGCCCATTAAAACCGTGGGCGGGGGCCGCGGTGGTGCCGGCGCTGCTCTCTGCGCCGGTGGTTTCATACCTTCACCTAAAATGGATCATCGACGGATCGATTGTATGCGTTTCTTTTTTCGATTTTGCCGTTTAGACGTACATCGTAATGCGAATAGCATTTAACTACTCGATTCCATTATTTACAATCGGTTTCATTACGTGACAAAATTTAGATCTTTTTTATAGAAAATTTATTAAAATTATTTTTAAAATCGACACATATTCTCTTGGAAGTGTGTGTCATCCATTAATATCTCTTATTATTATATATATTTTTTTTATAAATGTTGACTATTGTTTTCTACCAGAATTTTACAATTTCAATATTATTTATTTTTTGTATGTTTTTTATAAATGCTTCTATGACGTAACAATTCTCAATTATTTATCATGTAATTAATCGAGAAAGAGAATCGTAATTTTGAAGCAACTTAATAAAAAGTACAAATACATTAGTCACAATACTTACACGAAGTCGCTGTAGTAGTGGCGCCGGTGGTGACGCAGCTGGTGCTACTGGTACCGCCGCCGGAGTTGGTCGAGACAGTAGTGGCGTTCTGTCCGCCGTAGCTCACGGCACTGCTGATGACACCGTTGAGTAGCCTCTGCGTGGCAAACCCCTGTACGCCGGAGGTGTTTTGCGACCAAAATTGATGGTGAACCAGCAGATGCGGTGGTACCGAGGGCGCGCGCGGCCTCGGCGGCGTCGGCGGAGTCTGTGGCGATTGTTGCTGCTGTTGTGCGGGACCGTGCGACCCAGCGGACCCGATTGTGCCAGGACTGACACTCTGGTTCGGATTGAACTGAGACGACGGGCTATTCCGGTGAGTTGGCTGATTGGAAGCTTCCGACCGACCGCCCCCTCCGCCGCTACCACCTCCGCCTCCGTCAAAGACCGAGTTGTCGGATTCTTCCTTGGTCTGGACGGATGACAAGTCGCCCTTGTCCGGGCTGTCGCTCCTCGAGGAGGCCTCCTGGGCAATTGGGGTCGACGAGACCGCTTGGACCGGCGAGTAGGATGACGATCTGGTCGGCACGGGTGTGGCAGAGCGTTGTTGGTGGTGTTGCTGTTGCGGTTGCTGGTGATGCTGTTGCTGTTCATCGGAGATCCTGAAGCTCACTATCGGACCGGCATCCGGGAAGACCGAGTCGGGCGACGCGCGGTCCGTCGAGCACGTCGTATCGCGACCCTCCTGTCCGTTTCCTCTTCCACTTCCGCCATCACCGACTCCGCTGCCGCCTCCACCGGTACCACGGAGAGAATCTCGTGGCGTCCCTGGACTCGGACTGCCCAGCAGGTACTCGCTCGTCACTCTGACCACGGGGCAGCCCGGCGAACTCGGCATGTTTGCTTCCGGCGACAGGGTCGAGGTGTCGGCCATACTCTCCCCTGGAGCAGGAAAGTTTATGGGTGAAGGTGCGTCCGCCGGCTGGTTCCCCTGCGGCGAGCCTGCTGATCCGAGGGATACCGGGGAGTCTGAGAAATAAGGCGTTGGTTTTACATTTATATTCGGACTGCAGAGAGTCTGCAGCGTGGCGGGACGTTCTTTTTTTTGCTTTACTCTCGGGTACGCTCGAGGATAGTATGTGTGAATGTTACTCGCGCCGATTCTGTTCCATATGAATATAAAAATCTGAAAGAATACACTAAAGCGATGAAATCAGAATTAAATTGGATTGTTTTGTAGGCAATTTATGTTTTTGATGAAAATCGTATGATACCAATACTTTTCTTTTAAATTTGCAAATTCAAATTGCGAAAATTCAAATTTAAAAACATTTTTTTTAGTTTGTATTCCACATTCGAATTTTAAAATTTATATTTTAAATGCGACACAGTACCGCTGTACTATAAATCCGTACAATTCTCTCAGCTATTCAGATAATTAAAAACTAAATGATAAGCTTTTTCTTTTTAGCTGCATTATATTTTCTATATATAAAATAGAATAAATATACATTAAAAAAAAATACAGAAGAATAATTAAAAAGAAATTTATTAATATATATTTTTATAACGCGATTTATGATTATATATATGTATATATATTATTATTTGCAATCCACAAATGAAAGATTAATGGAGAAAAAATTAAGTAATTAAATAGTCATTTTTATACAAAGTAATTTAAATGTGGACAGCCGCAATATAATCACTATTACATTACAGACGAACAATGACGAACTCTTAAATCGTATTATGTTCGATTATACGGGTCTCGATAAGCGACTGCTCGTTACGCAATCCTGAGACGTATCAATAATATGACATCTTGTATGCGCGAAATACGATAGATTTTCTTGATAAAAATAGCTCTTCTCATAATAGATTCCGATACACGCGAAACGTGATAAATCCGACGTATTTTCCTCGAGTTTGCCGCGCCCATAATTGCTTTCTTTTCGCGAAGGATACTTTAAGTTCGTGCGATAAACACGTTGTTTGACCACTTTGCTCCAGCGCATTTTATCTTCTAGCGATATAATAGAGTATTCGGAGGGCGCACGATCGACCTCAGTTAGGAAACAATTGTTCCGAATATTTAAACTTCGAATATCAAAGAGAAGGTAGAGGAAGAGAGAGATTGCATCTATTAATGTAAAAAATTTTAATAACTTACATTAAAATATTAAAATATATAAATATTTTTTATAAATATTAAATATTTAAAATTGATAAAAACATGTTAATGAAATAT